TCAGTGTGCACGAGAAAGTGGCCAATTCTGATATGATATGTCGCATGACGAGTTTTGGTTCTTGTTGAGAATTGGCCACTTCCCTGAGGGCATCAGAACATTTCCGTGGTGGCCAATGTGACCGTGGTTTCTCATTAATGCCATGGCCGAGTTTTGAAAAACAATGTCGCACAACGGGGTTTGGTTTTTGTCGAGAATTAGCCACTTCCCCGGAGGCACCGGAACTTTTCCGGGATGCCGAATGCTATCATGGATCACCGGTATAGCCAGTATTGGTCCAATTACATCATTTGAGTGCGAAACGTCTCCCTTACACAACACAAACGGTAGAACAACATTCGAGAAAAAAAAAGAAAATTATCAAATAGGGGAAATGTATGTACTGTCGGCCGAAGTGTCCCTAATTTGGGCCCATACAGTATCGGACAAAACATTTGCAACCAATAAACCAACATCATGAAACTATTCAGAAAAGAGTTATGGTAGGTCAATTTTCAGAAAGACATATGCAAACGTTTACAAGCAGCATCCCAGACAACCAGAATGCACGTATATTCAAAGTTGTTTTCGTGGTATACAAACATATATACAAACAAACAATTCGTATATAATGCAAAGAAATGGCTTATACGTACAAAAGTGGAGGCCATATACGTGCATATTTTAATTTAATTTTAAACGAGTTGATTTACCATCATATACGATTTAATCTGTAATAACAAATTCATCTTGAAAAGTCTTACGATGTAATCCGATTTAATTTGTGATACAGTACGATGGAAAAATGAGTCATCGCATATTGGTCGGAAATTTGCATTCTATACGATTTAATTTAAACATAATGCGAGGTATGCCATTCTTATATGCGATTTTGACTAAAACTGTAGCAATTTACGATACTGTCTGTACATTATTATACGACTTCTGGTTGTCTGGGATACTTCAGGTTTATTTTAACAAAAAACTCATTATTCATACAGAATATTTCATCAATTTAAAAAAAAAAAGTGCAAAAGAAAATGTTTTCCTCGCGGACAAAACAAGTGCAACTTAGCATATTGCTCGCCAAATTTTGCTTGGCTTTCAATATTTTGTAGCGAATCCTTTATTATCGATTACAGCCTTGCACCTTTTGGGCATAGACTCGATCAGGTTGTCAATGAAGTTTTGTGGAATCGCTGCCCAAGCCTTTTGGATTTGTTCAAACAATTTATCCTTATTGCGAACACCTTCACGATCAATTCTTTGATTCACGATCTCCCAAAGATTCTCGATTGGGTTAAGGTCCGGAGATTGGGGTGGCCAGTCCATCACAGATATCTGGTTATAATTAAACCACTGTTTGACCACTTTGGCGGTGTGCTTGGGGTAGACTATTCACAACGTGTAAAGTTATCGAGGCAAAAATGATTCCGTTGCATCTCGTTTTCTTAGAAAGAGAAGGTATAATAAAGTTATCTTTTTTTTTTCTCTTAACCGATAGCAGACACGAAGCTACTGCTACCACCTGTTATGGCAGTTTCGGTTGCGTTCGGGTGTAAAGCAAAAATCATGAAACTCAATCTCACCACAGTATGGTAATATTTGCTAGCTTGATACTCCGATCTGCGATATTACAGATTACAGCTTGCAATATCAACCGCAATTGGCTTGTTGATGTTTGTGTACGAAAATCAAGCGTGATTTTGATCTTTGGTGAGATTTAATTTGTTGATATATTTGCCTAACACTGCTGCACAGTATGAAATGGGTAGCATTCGATTTCTCTTATATATTTACAATAGATAGGTGATACCTTGATTTCATTTCCGGGGTGCCAAATAAGTTGTCAATTGTTATACACTGAAGTCGTTTTTTTTACGCGGTTTTTTTTACACGGTTTTTCGCGATTTACACGGGACGTTTTTAACGATTTCTCGACAACGATACAACCTATCGACTTGATTTCAATCACATTATCCGTTTCAAGCTATAGGTAATCGAATGGCATACTTAAAAAAAAATTCACAATTTTTGGTGTAAATACAGAAATTTTTAAAATATGTCTATATGGACCATAGCATGCTATAATTACAAATGACATCAAAATCCGATTTTTTAAAAACATTTAAGCATGTGAATAATCAAAATCTCGTAGGTTTTTTTTACACGGTTTTTTTTTACACGGTACGTATCCCCCGTGTAAAAAAAGACCTGAGTGTATTAGGTTCTATCATGTATTTTGGGGAGAATCGAAAAAAAAATACAATTTTTTGGTCTTGTCTTTAGTATGGGATTTAATTCCCTAATATTTTAAAAAGAGATGGGTGCTATTCGGGTTAATTTACCGGGCGCCAAATAAATTGTCAATTGTTTTATTAGGTTTATTTATCGTGCAAAATGAACAATTTTTTTAGGTCTGCACAGTACGAAATTGGTGGTATTTTGACTTTTTTTACAATATATAGGTGCTATTTGAGTTTATTTTCCGGGCGCCAAATAAGTTTTCAATTGTTTTATTAGGTTCTAACATAAATTTTGGGGAGAATCGAGCAAAATGGACAATTTGTTGAGGCCTACATAATAATGAATGGATGGTATTCGATTACCTAATATCAGGGTGTCCATTCAAATCCAATTTTTAAATTCCTTGTTTTTTCTTGTAAAAAAAATCCCAACCCAAACATCACCCCTGATTTTAACAAAAAAAGGCGTTCAAAAATAACCGTTTATAGATAATCATATTTTATCAACAGAATTGTTCTACAATGCGTTTACTTTGTAGAAAAATATGAAATGCGATTTGCATTAACATGTTGATCATCTAGATCTTCATAACCCCATGAAATCATACATTCGTATACAAACAAAGAGCCTCCTGCAAAAAATAAGCCTAAATGTAGTTTTGGTATGTCAGAAAAAGCATGTACTAATGCAGCAGGAGAAACGCAGTATTAAAAGTTCTTAAAATCTTCCTGGAGTTAAGATCTTGAAGTTCTAAAAGCCAAACAACATTTTGTGGGATACAAACATGTGTTACTAAAATATTTATCATTCTCCAAATTGTCCGGAGACTTAGTAATTCTACAAATTTACTCTGTAAGATATCGTGGTTGGAACAACGACAAAATCGCCGTATGCCCTGTGTCCAAACAGATTGCGAGTGAAAGAAATGAATAGAGTTTTTGTAATTTTGAGGATTTTTGATACTTAATATGAAAGTTGTTAACAGATCTGTAAACAAGAGAATATATGATATAAAATTTATTGATTCCAAGTATTATGTCAAGTGGATTCTTCAAGACCAAATTATAGCCAACAAGACTATGATAAAATAAAAATTGTTACTTGGGATGAGTATATATGAAGTTTCCTGCATGTTTCCCGGATTTCGCTGATATGTTTACAATGGATGGGTACTATTTGAGTTCATTTCCGGGCGTCAAATAAGTTTTCATCTGTTTTATTGGGTTTTATCATGTAATCTGGGGATAATCGGGCAAAATGTACTATTTGAGGTCTACTCAACATTAAATTGATAGAATTCGATTTCCCTGATGCTTTTACAAGAGATGGGTGCTATTTGAGCTAATAATCCGGACGCCAAATAAGTTTTCAAACACTTTAATAGCTTCTATCATGCATTTGGGAAGATTCGGGCAAAATTTACCATTTAGGGTTAACTGCCACATTTCCGGCCAATTAAGCACAACCCGCACTTAGTCTTTCTTAATCTAGAGCAGTTTAGCACCAAATGGAATGTTATTTTTACTGATGGCTTCCAAATTTATTTACCTTTCCGTACGTACCGTAAGATTTGATAAAGAGAAACCAACCGTTGAGATATTGTCAAAAGTCTAACACTACTTCTTGACGCCAAACTCGGCCTACGGTTTCTAAACTCGGCCTAACGCATTGAAACGCAATTAAAACGCTAATCAATTCGCTTCGGCCTATCGGATGAAGATAAAAATTGATTCGGTCGGAGCGCTTGTTTTGTTTTTGGGAAAAATTGGTGCATATCACGCGTTCTCATTGACTTCGTTCGGTAGCTTATTAACTAAAGTATCGTACCAAACGCACAATAGACTTGTTAACACTGAAATCATGGATTTATTTGAAGTTTCCCCAAAATGGGCGATTAGGCCGAAGTAGTTCTCTACCCTATTGATGTCTGCACAGCATGAAATGGGTGATATTTGATTCCCCTGATATGTTTACTATTTGTGCTATTTGAGTGCATTTCCACCAAATGAGTCGAGTCGACTCAATTTCGTCAAAATGGGATTTACTCAAAAGTGAGTTGAATTTTCCGGGCTTTTCCAGCAAAAACTTCCCGAATATGAGGAAAACCGATCACTATACTCCTAGACTGAGTAAAAGAGATGGATTTTTTTCATATTCGAGTAGTTTTGACTGGTTTTTTACGGCTTCTGTCCGGAAAATTCAACTCACTTTTGAGTAAATCCACTTTTAACGACCGTGCAGCGAACTGTAGTGAACTTTGTAGTGCAGGGCATTTTGTAGAACTTCAGCAAGTTTTGTAGATCTTCATCATTTGAAATTTAGCGAACTCTAGAGAAATTTAATTTTAGCATTCGTAGAACCTCGGTCTTTCGTTAAGGTTCAATTTACCTTGATGTATTTTCGAAAAATTCGAAAGCAGTTTTTTTCGACGCATCATTTCAGATTGCAAAAAGCTCGCGTAATTTTCTGTAAATTAGCAAAGGGAAAAGAATGACGCAAGCTTTTTGCAATCTGAAGTGATTCTTCGAAAAAAAAACTGCTTTTGAACGTAAAACTGTGTAGATGTTCAGGGAGCATTTTGGATATTTCGGAAATTTAATATAAAGTCTGGGAACTGTTCGCTGAAATAAATGAGCTTTTTAAAGTTAAGGGAACTTTATTTAGTTTCAGGAAACTTCATAAAAATTCCGAGCCCTTCTTTTAACAGGAAATATTAATATCCACGTTATGAAGTTTGTGTACAATTTATACAATGGTTTATTTTATTTGTTTAGGTTATTTTAACACATCTCGGTCCAGATTGGAAATGCAGAAAAAGCGATCCGAATATTTACAAATGATTGAAGATTTAGACAAAGAATTGGGCGAATTCAGAACCGAACTCAAGCAGACAGAAGCCAGCATTAACAGTGTAGTTTCCGAAATGCAAAAAACCGAAACAAAGCAAGGCAAATCGAAAGACGCGTTCGAGAAAATTCAAGCAGATATCCGTTTGATGAAAGATGAGCTAACTAGAATAGAACGCTTCCGGAACCCGAAAGAACGGTCACTAGCTCAATGCAAAGCAAACCTGGAAGCTATGAATAGCACAAAGGATGGTTTGGAGAATGAGTTACACCAGGAACTGATGTCTCAGCTATCCGTACAAGATCAACACGAGGTGGACCAGCTCAATGATGAAATACGTAAACTGAATCAAGAAAACAAGGAAGCTTTTACTGCTCGTATGAGTTTGGAAGTGACCAAAAATAAGTTGGAAAATCTGTTGACCAATAATCTGTTTCGTCGCAAAGACGAATTGGTGCAGGCATTGCAGGAAATATCAGTGGAGGATCGTAAACGTCAACTCACTAATTGTCGCAACGAAGTGGCATCTACTGAAAAGAGAATCAAAAAGGTGTTGAGCGATGTAGATGAAATAGACAAAAAGTAGGATATTAAAAATGTATTGCGTGGATTAAACATTAATTACAACACTTCATTTCAGGGTGAGCGAAGCCGTTAAGCAGCAGAAAACATTGCAAAAAGAACTCGAGACATGGATGCAGAAGGAAAAAGAAGCACAAGATAAGATGGAAGAAGATTCAAAACGCATGGAAAAGTGGGCTGCTAAAGAAAACTTACTGCATCAAAAAATCGAAGAGTGTACTGAAAAGATCGCTAGTCTTGGAGCTCTACCCCAGGTCGATCCATCGTATCAGAGGATGTCGCTGAAAACGGTAAGCAAACTGGTACAAATGGATTGCCGTATGTTATCAGTGTTGATCCAAAATCTGCTGTCAATATGGTATCACTCTCATATATAGTCGCTATATTCATAGTCTGGCGGATAGAATTTCGATCTATCAAAAAGCGGAACCATTTCAATATATTGTAGAACAACAATTGCAAAGGTATTATCAACATTTATAAACAAATACGTTGATTATTCTTTCCTCACCAATCGAAGGTAAATTAGCAGCATCATCGGATTTGTGTAGGTGATCCTTTAGTCACGAGAAAACGGTTTCCGAAATTTTGTTCGTAATAGCTGATGTGCTCTTTTCTGTTTTTGGTCGTGATTTGCTCGATTGGTTCCGGTATTTGACAGCTCAATTGATTCTATCCGCCAGACTATGAATATAGCGACTATACTCTCATAGGGTCAAGAGTTAAAATAATAAAGATAAGGTAAGGTACATAATGGCAATTTGAAATGCGGGGTAAGAGGAAACGGAAGCTGTAACTAGTTGCTTGTGCCGGTGTTCATTCAGCCAAAACACAACCTAATGATTGTACGACTTTTCCCCGAAAACCAGTCCCCCGAAAGTTTTTTCCCCGAAATACACTTCTCCGAATAAAACGGTGGGCGTTGACCAGATTTGGATTTTTCTGATATAATCCTAAATAGGACCAAGATTATTTAATACTCTAGTAACCTCAAGTCCTGTCACAATTTTTCATTGTGATTAATCAACACTCAAAGAGGTAAAATACAAAATTTGGGGTGAATTTGAAAGAAAGGGAACTTGGAGTGTAGAGCGCACTGCCCACTGAACGATTCTGAAGCCTGGCCAAGTGAGTGGGGTATGGCTTTATTTGATTGAACGTCATTTCCAATTTATATATTGATACAAACCATTGGCATTTGGTATTTGAGATCAGACAGAGATAGGATGCGGAGGGCCCGCTTAGGGGGAGCGTAACCCATGTTATGGTTTCCATTTATAAAATAGTTCAGCTAGGCTAAAAATGATACGTTCATAGTGAGAGAATGTACCATATGGTGCCCGTTCATTGATCAAAATCAGATTCACATCGTCAGGCCCTGCCCAAGACTAAAGGGATTGACGATGAATTGTCAAGTTTTATTTTGCATTTGCATATAATTGTAATTTTAAGTTTGCTTTTGTAATTATACGATAAATAGTTTACCTCAATTGAAACATTGAATTGTATAAACTTGACGAATCATACATCTAATATAGTAGTAGTTACAGTGTCGCATGATTTAACAACCACTGTCGGCAGGGTTGATTACGGAACTAACATAACTCGAACACTAAAATGATCCCGAAACAAACGCTCATTCGTTGCACTGTAAGTCATAAAGTAGTTTTATTTATTTTCGGTGGACATTGGCCAAAATTGGATGTTTTATATATAATCCTAAAAATGACCTAGATTATTTAATAGTCTTGTAACCTCAAGTCCTGCCCCGTAACGTGGGTAGATCACCTTTTCGTGGTACGGGATGTAAGATCTACCACCGATTCCTAGTTCTGACTACTTCAAACTAGGGGAACAGGATTTTTCAGTAATCCAAGGAACACATCTTAGTCCTTGTTACTTTTTATGCCTTGTTGATAGTGACAAGACTCGGCTTTGTCTACCGAGGATGATCTTGAAACAAGGAAAAAAATGAGTTAGTTGTCTTCATCTATGTGATTCCTAATCTTCTATTCGTTGTTCCCTAGTTTGAAGTGGTTAAGACTAGGGTTATGATGCATGGTCATTATCGGTGTCATACCTTAATTTTGTTACTAAGCAATCCAATTTTGACTGACAAAGGGGCGCGCCTTTGGAGGGTGTTTCAACACTCCGAAGGGTATAAATAGCGGGACCTTTCAATTAGAGTCGGATCCTTGCGATAAATGCAAGAGTGGCAACTGTAAAAAAATCGAATACTTCATCATTTCATCATCACAATAGATCAATTTACTGGTCTCAGTAGTGTTAGGTCCCGAACAGTGGAAAAAAAGAAGGAACCTCAAGTCCGCGTTCGGTCACACTTTGTATTGTGATTAATTAACAGTCAATGGGTAAAGTATGAAATTTGAGATGAATTGTTTCAAAAGGGAACTTGTAGTGTAGAGTGCCTGCCCGAGCAAAGTCTGAGATCAAATTGAAATCTAAATTTGATGCTGTGATTTCGCTGATAATGATTGCTCAGGTTGCTGTCGTTTTGGTCGTTTTAACGGTTAAAATATCAAAATTGAGAGCAAAAAAATCTTCCTGTGACATCACATTGAAAACTATTTCTGCTATCAGTGAAAACTCAATTTGATATCAATTTTTTCTGTTGATAACAAAACAAGTAATCAATTTGATGTTAAGCTAAGGCAATGAAAACAACCCCGCAACAACATATTTTTGAAGACCAAATGTACAGCAAAATGAAAACAATTTTTTTTTAATTGCATAAACTGAAATCAAATTAGGATTTCAGTTTGATGTTGATATCAAAACTTGATTTCAATTTGCTGTCATTTTGATGCTGGACTTTGCTCGGGTGCCCACCGGTTGATGCTGAAGTCTGCCCAAGTACGTGGGTTAGGGTCTAATGATTTCTGGATGGAGTTGGAGTTGGTAGTTTAGCTGTTTTGATTTCGGTACAGTTTGTTGAGATCGGGTATAGTTTCTGAGTCTGTTGTTTGTGGATTCGCATTTTGAAATGACTCAGATTAGTACAGAGTAATAGTTTTGTTGCTGGGGAGCTTTCTTTTGGAATCGTCTTTTCTTCATACAATTCTCATTATTCATACTATATTAATCATGACCAGTCTTGGAAAATGTGATATGTTTGAGCCCAGTTCTAGATTAGTTTATTATTAATATCTTTTGAATTGCGCTCGCGAGAGGTTGGCTCGGATTGCACACAGCTATAAATAAACACAATACATGAGTTAATAAACATAAACAGGCTAATATTATCTTCTTTCGGATTGCACACAATAAATAAATACAATAAATGGGTTAATAAACATGTTGACTAATATTATTTAACCTGAACTTTCTTTTTTCTCTATTTTTCACTATTATCTCTCTATTTACATACAAATCAACAAATGAGCCACACGGGAATGCAGCAAACGTATCAAATAATCCCCAATGGAAATTGTTGCTGGCAGCGTACTGGCAGCAGAAAAACAATATAAAAATAAAAATAATATACAACCGACAATATCACTGCAGGCAGCATGTGAATCAAATTCATCAGTACGTCACATCAAAGGCACAGGGGCTTATGGCAGCAAAATCCCAACAAGGAAATCAAGGAAGCCAATAGGAATTTTACCTGGGCCCAGGTCAAGCAACCGCTAAGAATGGAGGTTTCTCATGTTGGATACTTGAGTGTGTGAGCACGTAAAGAGGGACGTAACCCGTAACCTGCAGTACCTAATAAGGTTTTGCACCGCCGGGGTTAACCTCAATCGGATGACAGTTCAGTGGTACTGTTTACGTGGACTTAGTCGATTTTTTCTTGGGTAGATTTTCTCGATAATTTTTCAGATTGCAGTGAGTTGTAAACCACACTTTTGCAATGTCCACGAGCAACATCGTTTCACCATGCATTTCCGCGACAATTTTCAAGTTAAAATTCGGAAATTTAAAAAATATATTTTTTTCGAAAAAACGACTGAGTGCTTGTAAACAGTACCACTGAACTGTCAAAAAGGTTCAGAAGATTAACACTGAGTTCATTCGTGACGTCACGCTGCAGAACCTAATAGTAAGCATCCCGTGCACCAGCTTGGGCTTCCGGAACAAATTTATTGATAGTAGGATCAAGATCATAATGATATTGAACCTACTACCAGTTGATTTGTTTCATGCAACTAGAGATCCAGGACCAAACTGCGGGATGCTCACGATGCCCCATCTGTTCACTATGCCCCTCCTCCCCCTATGTATAGAGTTTTTTAAGCAAAACATTGAAAAAAAAATAAACTTGAAATATTCCAACACAAAACATTATTTTCACTTATTTTACCATCACCAACTTATATATCTAAGCAGGTTTGCAATTGCTCATTACAGCTAAAATGCTATTTTTTGTTATTATGAATACTATAGTGATCATTTTTATTTGTAAGATGCAAGAAGAGGTGGTAAAGATTGCATATGACATATAAAATTTTGTCAATTTTGCTTTCAGAAGGTCACAACTAGCGATTCCCTCCCCTTGGCTAGTTTTTGCACCTTGATGCTGGTGGGCGGGCCTAATTTCATGCTTTTTAGTGGAGTGTTGGAAACGGTAGGTTTATGGCCGGCGTTGCTGGCTCATGCCGCGATACAATGGCGCCATGGGCAGGCAATGGGGATTACTAAGCTTCCCCTCTACCACTGCATGAGAGAACCAAAGATCTAGCACTGATAGTATCATACTTGTTACTCCTTCGATTGAGAGCCGCGTCGTAGTACGCTTACGTATAGGCACTGACGTTGGGTGTGATAGATTTAGTTGGGTTTGCAAGGGAATTATACTATTGAAATATTTCAGAAAGTGCCGAACGGTGCTCCTTCTATTTGCGTGACAAGCTTTCATTGTGTTTTCATTGAAGTATTACTCAGGAAACAATGTTAAACACCATTTTTGTACATGGTATTGTAACTAATCTTATATGTGCTTCATTTTGATTTGGGATAAGTGTTTGAACTATGACTCGGGATTTCCACTGTGGTGTGCTTCTATTGTGACATACCCATATGTATTTTTGTGGTGCGACATAGTGGAAACGTGAGAACGTAATTGGAACATTTACCCTATACAATATACAATTTAAAATTAGCTTGGAAACTTACTTCAAAGTGAAGCATTTTAGTCATTGAAGGTGTCACCTGGGACGAACAAAGATATAATTAATATATGTAAAAGCCAGAAGTACTTGAAACACGTTAAATTTAAGTTTAAAAGCATGGGTTATGATTGTGTAGGTAGATTAGAGATTTCAGTTAT